AAAACATGAAATTTTGCAATAATCTTGCGCCACCCTTGCACAAAACGACGATAATTTTTCTAATTTCATAGATAACAGAAGACTGTATTTTTTCTCCATAACCCTTGACTTTAAAGCTGGATCCGCCCCTGAGCTAGACCTTAAATCAAGTTTTCCTTTGTTGAAATATATAAATCATACTACGAATGTTTTTCCATTATAGAGATCATCCTTCGACGATAAAGCAAAGATTCATCAGCTGCATTATCATGCTGTTCATTGCACCGTGCTTTCTATACATCGGACTGGACAAGTCCATACTAAACCAGGTAAAACATCCGATGTTTCATCCTGAACTGAATTAACTGGTTTTCTGATTCTAGGCAACATTTCTGGAAGTTTTGGGACTTCGAGTCAAAGGATTGCTGCCCGCAATTGTCATTCCCTTACTCCTCACAATGGTGCTCTTCTTAGGTCCCATGTTTATGGAGTTCTTTAGTGGAACATGCCATCGGTATGCAGAGGTATCCGGTTGGCTGCCGAATCTGACCAATCTGATGTGGATACGCAATCGCATAGTGGCTCCACTATCGGAGGAGTTTACTTATAGAAGCTGCATGATGCCATTGTTGTTGCAGTGTTTGCCGCCTATGACTGCCGTCCTTATAAATCCGCTGTTTTTTGGAATATGTAAGACGCTCCAGGCAAAGGAAATAGTTATTTTAACTGGCTCTATTCTAGCTCACTTGCATCATATACATGAACGAATAAAATACGACATGAACTGCAAAGAAGCCCTGTTGATCTCAGGTACGGTGCCTCTAGCAGCTCCAACATTGTGCTAAAGAATTTTCGTACATTTTAGGCTTCCAGTTTTCCTATACGACAATCTTTGGAGCCTATTCAGCTTATTTGTTTTACAGAACGGGACATTATGCCAGCGTTTTCGTGGTCCACGCCTTTTGCAACCACATGGGGTTCCCCAATATCACCGAAATACCCAAGTACCCAACCGGCAAAAAAATTATCGTTTGTTGTCTGTTCGTTCTGGGCTTCGTTTCATGGTGTTTCCTGATCACACCATTGACTAAACCCAGTTGGTACCACAACTCTCCTAAGTACGCACGTGATAGTTTAGCCGTTAACGAATAGATTAACATTGAACACGTTGCTTGTACATAAAGTTGTTTATACGATAAGGAAAAATGTGAAGAATTCAGTCACATTACGACAATGTTGGGTGTATGCCTGTGACAGTCTGTTTTTAACTACGGTACGTGCAATACTCGGAAGGAAATATAACAAGTGTTATGTTTGGATTGATACTGTTTTCTTTCACATTTGCCATTCCTTATGCAAATCGTGCACAGGTAAAGACTGATATTACTAGATTAACGGTGTTTCTTTGTTCTATCCAGTTACGCAATAAATTAACTGTAGACCGAGAATATGGCGTTTGCAACGGTTGCTGCACAATAATTCTAATCTAATCGTCTTTTTTTTAATTTCATTATTCATAGGCGTCTATTGAAAGGAAATGTGCACAACTGTTTCGACATAATCACTGCTACTTCCATGTCTATATAGTTTCTTCAACTATTCACTCGCGCATTTGTCTCTCAAATCGGGTCTTGCAAACTTTTGCTTCAATATCCTTTATAGCTGATTAAATGAATGTTAAAACAACACGCACCTAAACCTTAAAGGCCAAAACACTGATTTTAAGCCTGTGGTAGCTGTTTGATGGTTTTTTCCTCGCGAAATTAACCCGAGCGATTTAAACCATTTCAGGGGAGTTGTACGCTAAAATAGTACTTGGCCTCCGTTTTGTACAAGACTTTTATTGTTTTGCCTGCAACAACAGGGCGATAATTCCCATTCGACGCGAGAAACATCCGCGATTTGACGATAGTTTAACACAGGAAACAATAACCAACATCTTACAACTAAAACAAAATATAAATAAAATAATTCAGCCTATAAACAGCCTTTCGGGGTTGCCGTCCTATGGCCCAATTACCTCAAAAAAATATCGCATCAACTGAACAAACGTTTGCCCGATTTCAGCCCTACAAATTATACCTAGTCGATACGAAAAATATTGCACTTTAGTCCTGCAAATCACGTGGAGCTGCTGTTTCTGTCGCCATCCACATGCAATTGCTGGTTGAGAAAAGCCACATTGCTGGCTTTGAGCCGAGCGGCTGCAGCCAATGAAAGGCATGGCGACATACAGGGCGTTGAGCAAAGGCTGTTGCTTATGTCGCACTGATCGAGCATTCGCAGCAGCTCGGCGGGCGATGGGCCTCCGTCGGTTGAAACTGAAAAAAATGAATTAACCAAAATTCTCGCGCGTTTTCGGAAGTTCTTGCCAGTATCCGTCTTGTAGCGCAGCCCCAGGGCGGTGGTCAAATCCCACATTTGTATGGAGCCGTTAGAGTGGCCCGTGAAGATGAAACGCCTTGGGCGAGAGCCCATGCGGCTGGAGCCGTCGCATTCGTGCACGCAGAACGCACTTACGGTGCTTCCGTCTACAGCTTTAATCACGCAAACTCTAAAAAAGCAATTAGACTCTCTCAGGCCCCAGAATGCTTTGCTCACCTCCTTCCATTGCTCGCCAGCCTTACAAACAACTGATCAGCATCGGGCACCACTTTCTGAACAAACACCTAAAAGTTGTGATTGAATTTACACGTTAAGCAGTTGGGAATGTTTGGAATTCTCCCAACCTGTTCGTCATCCTGCTCCCCAAATGGCCCGCAGTCGTTGCCAACGATGCAGGCGGAAGCCTGACCATTGGAGGCTCCAGCAGTTCCAACATTGTGCTCGACTGCCTCCAGGGCAACGATTTTAAAAGAGGCCTCTGGCGCCGATCCGGGTTGCGTATTCAACATCCCTCTGAAGCGGGTTACTTGCCAGGAGCGCACATGATTATATTCTGAGCACACGGAAACCAGGAACTTTTCGGACAGCGTTACCTGCAAAAGATTCAATTTTCCCTTACCTCAGAAACACTGTACATGAATCCCAATCGTACCTTTGTAACTCTACTTTGATGAACGGTGAACGTCTGGAACAGTTGAGGCCCATGTCCAACCGTTTCCGGGTGCTGAACAATAACTCTTACCGCACCCGAAGTGGTTCCATAGGCGATCTCGATCCAGTTTCCACACAAATCTAAACAAAAGCCCGAAATCTATCTCGAAATCTAGCAGCTGTCTAGGGCCTATATTAGAAACTACCCTAAA